AGGATGTAGCGATGAGGTTATGCTGTCAGGAGGAAGTTGACCAATCACCTCGCGGTTCTTTTACCCATATGGGCAGTCCTGCAGCCCTCTCCTCAACCAAATTCTCAGAACAGGGCCAACGGGAGCCTAAGGTAGACCTGACAAGCAGTGCCAGTGAAGAGGCGATGAAGCGAGAATCACCATTAATGCCTCGCCTTCGCCCCAGAACTCGGTCCTCCTCCACTCGTCCTTCCGTCGCCCCTCCCGCCGAGGTTTTATGTGTCAGCGGTGAGATGTCACCCAAAAACTTGATTCAGCAAGTAACCACCGAAGATGCAAGTCCTCTTCTTGCCCTAAACACTGAGGAGATACCCTGCGCCCCAAATTCGCCTCCCAGGCCTTCTGTTACTGACCAAAGCGTTCAACAGACGGAAACTGTACCCGCAGTGTCCGTCGCCAAGATCAACGGTGCTGATATCTCCGAGTCTGATCCGTTGGCATTGGCCGACGATAGATCAACGCAGGAGAAGACTCAGCCAGAGCAGGATTTAATTGAAAGTCCAGCACAGAATGAGAGTTTGGCTTATGACCCTTCACCAATTTTTTCCGTTTCGCCTACTGGGCCTATGCATTCCTCAAACTCGTCGCCGATATCTGAAGAACCCACCAGTCCTATGAAACTGGAGGTACCAGCCTCCCTTTCGGCGTCAGACTCCTCGACTGTGTGCATGACCATTTCAGAGGAGTCTTCTCTGGACACCTACCCATTCCAGGGAACTCCTTCGACACTGAGCGAAATTTCCGGCCAGCTTCAGGCCACGGAGACCTCAAAAGCTGCAACACCTCTATCCTCCCGTCCTGCTAACCCTCCTTCCGAATCCGCCTTCTCCCCTTCACTCCAAGACGTGCAATCATCGTCACCAGCTTCGCTGCAGCCACCGATTTCGCCCCACTCCAGATTTCGTCGAGTTCCGCGGAGCACTGTCTCCCGTCGGTGCACTTTTTCTTCCCCGCCTGACATATCGCGTCCTGGTTCCCCTCGGACTCCCGCTAAGCAGTGGAGCG